ACTGATCGTCTCGTACTTGCACCTATAATGCTGTCCAAAAACGTGGGAGTCCCCACAACAGAAACCCCAGCGTTAACATTTGTAGCATGAGGCTATAAGGCTGCAACGAACACTATCACCTACATACATACACACATACGTGATGTCATGTCTCTCTGTCCTTGAAGCGAGATAAGGCCGGAAGCCCCAACTTGACTGACAAGAACCCTAAACTCAACATCACTAACACGAAGGCCCGAAATACTAAATCCTTGTCCTCCAGAGCCTGCAGATCCTCACCTATTCCTCCCGCGTTATCACCGGCAACGGCCATGATCTACAGACATCTTCAGCTTTTCCTCGTACTCGCTGCCAGCAGCACGCACCATGTCGCACGACCCACCCCTTCGTTGAGCCACCGGACCGAGCGCCTCGTGAGCACACCAGCGAACCACGAGTCAGCCGGGGAGACTGAAGAATCTCATACCTTTCTGCACCACTGACTGGTACATGGCCGGCAAGATGACATGGAAAAACTCTCTCAGCAGTTCCCAACCTGCCTTGCCTGCGGCACGGCGCCGGCGCGGCTGCGCGTGCGCCTGGAGCTTTAAGGAGCTTCGCGAAAGCGCCGTTTCGGAGGTGCCTGGACCAGGGGCGGAGCCTTCGATGCATTTGGCGGTGCATGCTTTTTTCGGGCCACTTCTCAGGGGCTGTGAACTCAGGCTCATGGCCGTGATGGCTCTGCAAAAGCCTCATGTGCGCTTGTATGCCTAATCCCGACTAATCCCTTTATACTGTCCCCATCGTGCTTGTCTAGCTGCCAAATGGAAACCAAGAAGTTGCTGACGACTTGATTAGTGTCCACAAGGAAGATGTTTGTAATTTGAGTGATGGACAGCCCCCGCCCTCAAGCTTTGCCAAGTGGCAGAGAGAAGCTCGCAAGGAGCTAGACCAAGCCGCCATGAAAAAACTCGGCTTCAAGCTTGTCAGGGGCTTCCAGGTTTGAGCCGCAAGGAGTGCGACAAAGACCACAGTGTGCACCGACTCAACCGTGTGCCCTTGGTCCATTTCTGCTCCTTTTCTGCCACTGCCTTGCATCAAAAGTGAAATATTCTACAAGGCACTTTACAGGCTTCGAGGCTGTACAGCTGGGCACCCGTTCGGCGCCACTCCTCCACCTTGCAATCATCATTTGGGCTTGCGCATCGCCTGCGTGGCTCCGCCAGTCAGGTAGATGCCAAAATTGTAAAAATCGTGCAGAGGAAGGAACCCGCATGACCAGCTTCTGATTTTGTCGCCGCCGCACCCTTGCGCGGGAGCAGTCATCATCAGAAGAGGACTCATTTCGGATTGCGCGCTGCTGGCCGGGTCTTCAACGTGGGACCTGCAACGACCGCTCGCCCCTTTTTCCTGGCCCTGGCTCCGCTCTCCGCACTCACCGCCTGGAAGCGCACGCTCTAAGTCCACTGCTGCAGCTGGCGCACCTTGAAAAACATTCCCCAAAAAAGGAAAAAGCGCGTGCCCACCATGGTCACCCCATGGCTCTCTAGGCCCACCCGGCCTTCGTAGGTGCCCCCTGGCACCAGGTTGCTGCCTGGCCAGAGAAGTACAGCTCACATTGCTAGGTAGCTGCCGAGCCGAGCCGCCTTTCCATGTGAGGCTTCCTGGGCGGAGGAGCGCACCATCCCCGGCATCGCACATGGCAACCTTAAGCAACAGCCGGAAGCTCTCCTTCTCACGTCTCTGACCTTGCGAGCTGCCGAGTCACACTGGCGCCGCTCATGATGGTGACGCCGTTTCCAATCTTGTAGCAGGTGAACTTGAGGCGGAAGTCCTGGCATGCGCGCGCATGCGCCCATCACATGCGCCCATCTCAGGCGGGCCTGGCCTCGAAGGAGTGGCATCTCACCTGCCCATCGTAGTCCACGGTCACGTCGTCCCCGATCTCCGTGAAGGGCGCATCCACAAGGACAAGCTCATTCCTCGGAGAGACCCGAACTACGCAGAGCGGGTACGCGGAGCGAGGGGTCTTACGTGCCGACTCCAGGTCCCAGGGCGGTCCCAGGAGCATGCAGAAGAAGCGCCTGCCCACTTTGGCGCCCAGCAACCGCAAGATCGGCGCTTGCCATCGGCTTCCAGCAGTCTGAGGCAGCTTTCAGACTTTCAGATGGGAGATTTTCTATTTTGCAGCCTGCGAGCGCCTGGAAGGGTAGCTTGAAGACACGCTGCTGCGCCGTCAGGGCCGTGAACCAACGGGTCACGGTCGTGGAGTAGTAGGCCTCAGTTCAGGGCCAAGCCCCAAGCCCTGCGTCGTCTGGGACATCGGAGCCCTATGATATTCTCAAGGCAAGGAAACGTTGGAGCGTGGGGCTTTGCCATTGAAGAGCAGATTGCCGAGAAGAACGGAGAAGACGT